CTGTTGGTGGTACTTAGGCTGTCTCCATCTTTTTGCTATTGTTAATAGTGCTGTGATGAAATTGATGAGCATATATCTATTTGTGTTCTCGCTTGTATTTCTTGTGGATCTATGCCAAGTAGAGGAATTGTTGGATCATAAGGTATTTCTATTTCCAACTTTGAGGAAGCTCCATTCCATTTTCTAGAGTGGTTGAACCATTTTACAGTCCCACCAGCAATGCAGAAGTGTCCCGTGTCTCCACACTCTCATCAGCATTTGTTGTCCTCTGCTTTTTTGGACTTCGCTGTTAATGTTGGTGTAAAGTGGTATCTCCTTTTTGTTTTGATTTGCATCTCACTAATGGCTAATGATTGTGAACATTTGGCTGTCTGAATGTCTTACTTGGTGAATTGTCTGTTCATGTCTTATGCACATTTTTCAATTTGGTATGTCTTTTCTTGTAGATGTATTGTGGTTTCCTATAAATTTTAGAGACTAGTCCCTTGTCTGATGTTGCAAAACAAAATTTCCCAGTCTGTGGGCTCCCATTTTGCTCTTTTGGTGAAATCTTTTGATGCACATGTTTCTAATTTTTAGTATATCCCAGTCATCTATTTTGTCCTCTATTGTTTGTATGCTTTTTGTTATGTCTGATAATTTATGTATGCCATGTATTAGAGCCCTTAAGCTTGCCCCTATTTTTTCACTGATGATCTTTATAGTTCTGGGATTTACATTTAGATCTTTAATCCATGTTGAGCTAGTTTTTGTATATGGTGTGAGATATGGGTCTTGTTTCATGCTTTTGTAAATTGATTTCCAAATTTGCCAATACCATTAGTTGAAGAGACTAGCTCTTCGTCATTTAATGTATTTTGGCTCTTTGTCAAAGATCAATTGATTGTATATGGATGAATTTACGTCTGGATTCTCAGTTCTGTTCCATTGATCTATGTATTTTTCATTGTACCAATACCAGGATGTTTTCCACTGTGGCCATGTATTAAGTTTTGAAATCAGGAAATGAGAAGCCTCCAACTTTGTTCTTCTGAAGCAGTGCTTTGCTAATCTGAGGTCTTTTCTCTTCCATATAAAGTTCATGATAATTTCTTCCATCCCTGCAAAGAATGTTGTTGGAATCTGGATTGGGATTGTGTTGTATCTGTAGATTGCTTTGGGTAGTATTGATATTTTCACAATGGTAAGTCGCCCTATCCATGAGCATGGTATATTCTTCCATTTTTGTATCTCTCTTTTGGTTTCTTGCTGTAGTGTTTTATAGTTTTGTTTCTTTGGTTACATTTATTCCTAAATATTTCTGCCTTTGGGTGGTTATTATAAACGGTATTGTTTTTCTTATTTATTTCCTCTTCAGAGCGGTCCTTATTAGTATAGAGAAATCCAACTGATTTTTGTTATGTTGATCTTGTACCCTGCCACTTTGCTGAATCTTTCAATGAGTTCCAGTGTTTTGTTTTTGCTGAGTGTTTGGGGATTTCTATGTGTTGTAGATGCTGCTCTGGTGTATAGCAGCTAGTTTTGGCTCTTGCCCCTTTGGTGGGGTTTTACAGGGTGCATTGTGGCTTGGCTGTATTGGCTACGATTGCTGTCTCTTGTCAGGTGAGGCACAGATAGAAACTCACCCACAAAATAGAAGCAAGGCCAAAATTTGAGACTAAGCCACAAAGTCAAATATCATAAAAACCCAGGAAAAGTATTTATGTAAAGCTAGGAAACTCAGGAAAATCAAAGAGAAAAAAAAAAAAATTAGAAATAATCACAGGAAATGAGGCATTGGTTGTCAGTGGTAGAGTTCTTGCCTGCCACATGGGAGACCTCGGTTCACTTCCCTGCCAATGAATCTCATTCAAAGCTGCTGCGCATCTATCAGTGGAGGCTTGCTTGTAGAGTCCTGGTGTGGCGCTGTGGGTTAATGTGCTGGACTGACTGCAAGGTTGGTTTGAACCATAGGTCGCTTGTTGAAGCTCAACAGCCGCTCCTCGAAAACCCCATATGGCATTGCTATAGGTCGGAACTGATCCAGCGGCACTTAACAACAATGGGCTCTAGTCTTCTATGCAGACTGAGAAATTCCAATATTGTTCCCATGGGATCTGACCTAGGCCTTCCTTTTTTGTTTTCCCGTCAGGCCCATTTATGGGTCACTCCTACCAAGAACCAGCTCAGGGTTGGCCAGATCCGCTTTGGAAGACTCCTGGATCTTTTTGTTTCTTTTGTTTTCACCTGTGCATGGTGCAAATCCTTCACCGAGCAGCACAGAACAGTGCTAATTGTTTCACTGTACTAAACTTGCTCACGTTATGTGGAACCGCCCCTGGGGGTGTGTACTTGTGTAAGTTTCTCCTCTGGTTACTGGCGTGGAGATGGGTAGACAGACCAGGAGATGTGGTAGAAAAAGGCATTTGCACCTTTCTGTAGATCACTGGATGTGTCTGCACTGGGAGTTCTCTTTTGTTCCTATTTCTACCAACTCCCATTAAAATGGCTACAGCATCTGCAGCTGCCCTGCATCAGAAGCCACCTCCTTTCTTGCTCCTGTTCCAGATCTTACTCCTGGTAAGCAGTCAAACCACTTCTTTTATCACTTTAGTTCAGGGTTCCAGGATGATCCTCTGAATCTGTTTCACCTAGTTTTCTGTGCTTTCACTGATGGGGGTTCTCTGCATTGCCTTTCTGCCTAAGCTGTCATCAAGCCCTGCCTCTCTGGCTGTCTTCTTGTCTTAGGATGTTAGGGAAATTTTCTTCCAACAACTCATGGACAATGGTCTCCATGGTTTTTTTCCTTCTCTGTTCCTGTTCTAGAATTCCTACCACGCAGAGTTATTCCTCTTGAGTGTCCCACATAAATCTTTGTCTTTCTTTAGATTTTTTTTTCTGATGGTTTTGGAATTTCTCCAGTTTCCTTCTGTTTTCCTTGAGTTCAGCCATAGTTTTCTCAATATTTCTCTCAAATCTGTTGAAGTTGTTTAATTAGCATTCATTTAAACTTCTTTATCAGGTTGTTCTTGAAAGGTAGTGCTGTGGGATAAAGCACTGGACCACAAGGTGAGTTTGAACTGTAAGATCAGTGGTTCAAAGTCACAAACCGCTCCTTGGAAACCCTACACAGGGTTTTGCTATGAGTCTGAAACCGACTTGATGGCACTTAACATCAGGTAGTTCTAGTACCATTTCTGGTATTACATTTTGTGATTCTGTATTTTGGTCCTTTATTTGAGGCACTCTTGTCTTGTGTAAGCTAAAAGTGTCTGAGATATTGTGGGGTTGTGTTTATATTTAGCTGATGATTGTTTATTGGTGTTTTCTCACCACCCGTCTCCCAGTGGGTGTGGTAGAGACTGGAAGTATGAACACACTTTAGTTCTTTGTTCATTTGTGTAGTGAAATTCAGGACGGGTTCACGTGACTAAGGAAGCGGGGGGTGCTGTGCCAGGCCGCCCACCCAGAGAGTAGAGGACACACAGGCGTGTCACTGACTACTGAGACGGCGAAGGCACAGGATCAAGGGGGAACTGCACCCTCTTACCACCAACCTCTAGCCATGTCCTGTGCCTGTAGGTGGTGGTATCAACAGCTGCTCACGAAAGCTCAAGCTGGCCTTGCCTACCATGCCAGCCCACAGCCTGCCTGTTTTTCTTCTCTCCATGTTTCTGTTCAGCTTCCTGTTCCAGTCAGCACTCAATCCACCTTTCTGTCCTGTCCTCTGATGCTCAGGGCCCCAGGGTCACCACCTGTATCTGTTCCACTTGGCCTCCCGTGTCTTTGTTGCAGAGGGTTGGCTCAGTCCATCTGTTTACTCCTTCATCTTCCCCCAGACCCATGAAATACATGTATTTTTTAAAAGTCCAAATCTTTGTGCTATACAGAAGTCTGAAGCAATCATTGTTCAGCTTTTTAAAAGAGGAAATTCCAAGGGAATCCCTGCCTCTCCCTTGGCTCAATGCCAAATTATTCATGACTGAAATATTTCTGGAATATGTGGGTATGTGACCGAAATAAAGCTTTAAAAAGAAGACTGAATCCATTAAAAATAAAACAAAAACTCTTAATCACTTAAAAAAGGGATAGCAATTAAATAAGTATATTAATTTTAGTATCACTTATTAACAATTTTTCATAAGTGACCAAGAAAAAAAACCTAGAAACAAAAACATAGTAGTCTAACATAAAATGCTTCAACTATTATTTATAATAGTTGACAATTTTTAAATGTCTTATTTCTTGTATTAATATAAAACACAGAAAGTCTAAAAACAAAGCCTTGAATTAGGAAGCTTGTATTTTACAGAAGACATACTTAACCTTTGAACTTTTTCATGCACATTAAATAACAGGGATCTAAAATTAAATGTTGATTCCTTCTAAGTCCAAAAATGTTGGTTCCTTCGAAGTCCAAATTGGCTAAAGTAACATCAACTGAACGTTTATATCCATGTCTTTAACATATGGTCCTTGAAAATTTAGTTAATAAAAATGCTTGTACTTTATTAAATAGTAACTGGCAGAGTGGGCTTCCTGGGAAAGACAGCAGCTCTTTGCTTCCACTGCTGAACTGCAACACTCGGCTGTGTTTGTGCCAACGAGCAGAGGCTCTGCTGCACAAACTTGTTATACCACATTTTTTTTTTTTTCTACACAAACTGATTGCACAACAAGAAAATAAAACTTGCGACTTTTCAGAGGCAGCGTTTTTTATTTTCAGCTTCTATAATAGAATGTTCCACGCTGAAAGTTACTGGCTTTATTAACCTGCAGCGGTCCTTGTGCTCAAGCAGCTCATGAACACTGTAACTACGGGTCAGACACAGGGTCACACTGCTCAGACCTGGTTCTCACAGTGACAAGAGTTAACCTTCTAAGCCAGTCTTAACAGAATTGTGATATAAATTATTAACGTAATATATAATGATAAATGCTGTTCTTAATAAAAGCAAATTTGTTTCCTATTTACAATTTTAGAAAAGGTCTATTATAAAAATATTTTTCTTCATTTATTTCCCTGTCATGATAATGTTAAAACACATTTAGATTTTCTTCAAACATGAGAGTTAGTAGTATAACATTCTATTTTAATTTACATGCCCAACATAGATTTCCAAGGCACTCTAGGAACTATGGAGGTCACTAAAATAAAATTTTTTTTCTTTAGCCTACTGATCTTTTAGGCATATTTCCCCTCAAAATTTTCTAAATTTAACACTGCTGTAACTTTTTTCTTGAATTTCATTTTCAGTGGTACAGCCCTTAAGTTATTTTTCTTTTATTTGGAGCCACTCCTTCATTTTCAACTTGCTGAGCAGGCAAGCAACTGCTTTTGGTTTCCATGGAAACTGGATTCCTGCGGCTACGCGTAAGCATTCTTGTTCCACCAACCTAAGAGAGATGAAACAAAGGCTAGAATAGCTTCACATATTTACAACATACCTCCACACAGTCAAATCCATATAAATGACATGTACCGGTCACCTTCTAAATGATCTTTTATATTTTTAATTCCCAGGCACGTGGCTATTTATGAACAAGTGTAACCTGGACACAGTTTCAAAGCCTGGAACTTGTGAGTAACTACTGGGAAGGGGACAGAAGACCAGGGCACTATGGGGAGAAGTGCAGGGGAAATATTACCCGTGCTAAATTTGGAGGAGGCTGCGGTGCTGAGTTAGAAATTGTGGGAAGGAACAGTGGGCTTTTTGAGCAATGTGTTTGTCTGCAGTCATGAAAATGAAAGGCCAGTAAAGGAAGAAATATAAAAGGAGGCAAGGAAAATACAAGAAGGAGGCCAGAAATAGTAAAGAACTAACATGGACCAAAAAGGGCAAATACAGGCAAGAAGGATAAGTAAGAAAATGGAGAAAGAGACCAGAGACAAAGATGAGCAGAGACAAAGATGAGGAGAAACAGAAAAGCACAAAAAGGTTAGAAAAATAAACAAACATGAAAGAAAAGTGAAAACAGAAGAGAACTTATACAGGAAAGAAAAAAAAAGAGGGCATTAAAAAAAAAGAAAAGAGAGATGGAAGGGGGAGGGAGGAAGGAAAACATTTTTAAGAGAAAGAGAGGCTTGGAAGGGGAAGGGGTGGAGGTGGTGTGAGGAAGAACCCCAGCTGTGGTGGTGCTGCTTCTCTCTCACATCCAGTCTTCCTCAGCTGGGTTGTCGGACTCTCATGTACTTCTTGTGTCAGGGACAAAGGTTGGTCAAGTCCTAGGATATAGTTTTTTGTTAATTCTAGTCCTACTGACCACCACTCGTCGTCTGTCAATTTGTCATAGTGTGGTGGCTTGTGTGTTCCTGCAATGCTGGAAACTTTGCCACCAGTATTTTAAATACTAGCAAGGTTGGCCATGGCAGACAAGTCAGTGGTGCTTCCAGACTATGATGGACTTAGGAAGGAGAGGCAGACCACTTCTGAAGGCTTAACCACTGAGAACCTAATGAATAGCAATGAAACATTGTCTGATACAGTGCTGGTAAATGAACTCTTCAGTTTGGAAGGCACTAAATACATGACTGGGGAAGAAATGGTGCCTCAACATAGAGTTGGTCTTCATGATGTGGATGGAGCAAACCTTCACTTGCTATGTTGTTGTTGTTAAGTACTGTGGTGTCAGTTCTGACTCAGCGACCCTGCACAGGGTTTCTGAGGCTGTAAATCTTTACAGGAGCAGAAAACCTCACCTTTTCCCCACAGAACTGCTGGTAGTTTTGAACTGCTGATCTTGAGGTTGGCAGCCCGACTCCTAACCACTATGCTACCAAAGCTATCCATTAATAATCAGGATATGGAGAGTACGAAGTAAGAATCTAGGAAAATTGGAAGTTGTCAAAACTGAAGTGGAACACAAAGATTGCTATTCTAGGCATTAGTGAGCTGAAATTGACTGGTACTGGACTTTTTGAATCTGACAGTCATATGGATTACTATATCTTAAGAGGAATGACATCACATCCACTGTCATCAAAATCTGTCTTGAAGTACAAGACTGTGATAGGGTACTATCCAGAAGCCTACAGAGAATCCCAGTCATTATGATTATTATTCACATTTCTGTACCTTATGTATCAATCACTAAAACCAGTGATGATAAAATAGAAGAAATTGAAGAATTCTACCAACTTCTTCTGTCTGAAATTGATCAACGATGTAATCAAGATGCTTGGATCATTATTGGTGATTGGAAACAAACAGGGAGGACTGGTAGTTGGAAACCATGGCCTTGGTGAAAGAACAATGCTGAAGATTGCATGATAGAATTCTGTAAGACCAGCAGCTTGTTAATTGTGAATACCTTTTTCAACAATTAAAACTGCAACTATACACATGGACTTCTCCAGATGGAACACATAGGAGTCAAATCGACTACATTTGTGAAAAGAGGTGGTGGAGAAGTCTATCATCCACTGAAATAAGGCCTAGGGTTGATTATGGAAGAGATCATCAACTTCCCATGCAAGATTCAGGGTGAAACAGAAGAAAATTAAAACAAGTCCCAAAGAGCCAAAATATGACCTGGAATATATCCCCACCTGAAATTAGAGGCCATCTCAAGAACAAATTTGATGCAATAGACACTAATGAACAAAGACCAGAAGAATTGTGGGATGAAATCAACAACATCATACAGGAAGAAAGCAAAAGGACATTTAAAAGACAAGAAAGAAAAGACCAGAATGGATGCCAGAAAAGACTGCGAAACTTGCTCTTGAGCACAGAGAAGCTAATGCAAATGAAAGAAATGAAGAAATAAAAAAGATGAACAGAAAATTTCAAAGGACAATTCCAGAAGATAAAGTCAAGAATCATTTATAATGAAATGTGCAAGCGAACGCAAAGAACATGCACAGTATTTCTCAAGCTGAAAGAACTGAAGAAAAAACTCAAGTCACAAGTTACAATACTGAAATACTGAATGAAGAAGCATTAAGACATTGAATGAGGAATCATTAAAAGATGGAAGGAATACATAGAATAAAACAGAAGTGGTTGATGCTCAACCATTTCAAGAGATGAAAGATCAAGAACTGATGGTATTGACGGAAGAAGTCCAAGCTTCACTGAAGGCATTGGTGAATTGAGGAATTGACAGAATTCAAATTAAATTTCAACAAACTAGAACTCTGGTAGCATAGTGGTTACGAATCAGGCTGCTAACCTCAAGGTTGGCAGTTGGAAACTACCAGCCATTCCACAGGAGAGAGATGAGGCTTTCTGCTCCGGTAAAGATTTACAGCCTCGGAAACCCTGTGCAGGGTCACAACTGACTCCGTGGTACTTAACAACAACAACAGTGCAGCACAGGAGGTGCTCACTTACCTATGCCAAGAAATTTGCAACACAGCTACCTGGACAACTAACTGGAAGAGATCCCTATCCGTGTCAATTGCAAAGAGAAGTGACCCAATGGAATTCGGAGATCAAACAGCAGCATAATATCCCATGCAAGTAAAGCTGTGCTGAACAGAATTCAGAAATGGTTGCAGCAGCACATTGATAGGGAATTGACAGAAATTTGAGGCAGATTTAGAAGACAAGGGACATAATTGCTGACAGCAGAGAATACCAGAAAGATGGTTACCTGTGTTTTATTGGCTCTGCAAAGGCATTCAGATGTTATAACGAATTATGGATAACATATGTAAGAAGGGGAATTCCAGAACAGTTTATTGTGCTCATGAGGAACCAGTACACAGCCTAACAGGAGATACTGAGCGGTTTAAAAATCAGGAAAGGGGTGTGTCAGGGTTGTATCCTTTCACCATACTTATTCAGTCTGCATGCTGAGCAATCCGAGAAGCTGGATTCTATAAAGATTCTATAAAGAACACTGGCATCAGGATTGGAGGAAAAGTCATCAACAACCAGTGCAATACAGATGACACAATCAGGCTAGTTAGAAATGAAGATGATTTTAAGTACTTCTTGATGAAGATCAAAGAATACAACCTTCGGTATGGATTGTACCTCACCTCAATGGAAATCCTCAGCACCAGACCAATAAAATACATCATGATAAATTGAGAAAGATTGACGTTGTCAAGGATTTCATTTTACTTGGATCCACTATCAACACTCATGGGCAAATCTGTTGCAAAAGACCTTCTTAAAATGTTAAAAAAGCAAAGATGTCACTTTGAATACTATGGTACGCCTAACCAAAGTCATGGTATTTTCAACGGCCACATATGCAAGTGAGAGCTGGACAATGAATGAGGAAGACTGGAGAAGAATGATGTTGTTGTTATGTGCTGTGGAGTCGCTTCTGACTCATAGCAACCCTGTACAGGGTTTCCGAGGCTGTAAATCTTTACGGGAGCAGAAAGCCTCATCTTTCTCCCATGGGATGGCTGGTAGTTTTGAACTGCTGACCCTGAGGTTAGCAGCCTGATTCATAACCACTACACCACCAGAGAATGTGGTGACTGTGTGCCGTGGAGTCGGTACCGACTCATAGCGCGACCCTGTACAGGGTTTCCGAGGCTGTAAATCTTTACGGAGCAGAATGCCTCATCTTTCTCCCATGGGATGGCTGGTAGTTTTGAACTACTGACCTTGCAGTTTTCAGCCTGATTCATAACCACTATGCTACCAGAGCTCCAGAGACTAGATCCATTTAAATTAGGATGTTGGCAAAGAATATTGAAAATACTATGGCTGTTGAAAGAAGAAACAAATCTGCCTTAGAAGAACTGAAGCCAGAATGCTGCTTGCAAGTGATGATGGTGAGACTTTGTCTCTCATACTTCGGACACACTATCAGGAGGGACCAGTCCCTGGAAAGACAGAGGGACTGCACCAATGGGCCCAAGTGTGAGCATGGCTCAGGATGGGGCAGTAGGTCTTTCTATTGTGAAGAGGGTTGCAAATGTTGTGCGTTTGGCACTTAACAACAGTCCTACTGAAGATGAAAAATGAAAATGGGAGTCCTGGTGTGGCATTATAAGATAAGCCTTGGAATGCTAACGGCAAGGTCAGTGGTTCACACTGACCAGATGCTCTTTGGAAACTCTATATAGGGTCATTATGAGTCGGAACCAACTTAACAACATGGCCATTAAGAATATGCAAAGATTTGAAACCATAATGGAGAAGGTCAGCCTTTTCTCCAGAACCTGCCCGTATCTGCTTCTATTTCGTTAAGCCACCTTGTGTCTGGTTTCTCTAAAGCCTGCCCACTGAATTCCAGGTCTGGGAAGTAATAGGTAAGACTGTTGCTCCAAGCACACTCATATTCCTGTTGTTTGTTATAAAGTCATTTCTGCCTCAAGGTAAAAGCAGAACTTTTCCACAGCGTTTCAAGGCTATGACCTTTTGAAAGCAAAGAGACACGTCTGTTTTCTGAGTGGGCTCGGGTGGGCTCGAACTTGCAGCCCATCAGCCTCTTGGCTACTAGTTGAGCACTGAACTGTTCGCACCACCCAGAGAGCTGCTGACCTTGCAATTAGCAGCCCAGTGATTAACCCACTGCGACACAAGGGAACCTTCTCATATTCGTAGCCCCTTAGAAATAGTAGTGGCATTGCTTTATGGGGTTAGTGGCTCACTAGGAATGGAACAGACTCCAATTTTCCTCACCCAGTATCTTTTGTCTCCTCAGGAACATTTTGTTTGTTTATAGTTAGATGGCCAGAGTTTACCAGTCTGTGTGAATCTGGTGAACTTTTATAATATACTGATTAGAAAACAGCTGTGACTTTTAGATTCTGCCACTTATTTCTTGTCCACGCTATTTCCTATAAATGTATACTGGGAATTCTTGCCTTCCATGCCAGAGACCTGGGTTCAATTCCCAGCCAAAATACCTTAAGCACAGCTATTGTTCATCTCTTGGTGGGGGGTGGGGCGCTGACTTCTTGCTGAAGCAGTTTTAGCAGAGCTCCCAAACTGAGTCAGCCTAGGAAGACTAGCCTGGTCATCTAGTTCTGATGTACAGAGATCACAATCGACGGCCTACTTGGTGCCAGATAACAGAAGCAGAGCAGCACCTATATCTTCTGTGTACTTGAGGAAGCAAACATTTTGCAAAATTCCCCTGTGAATTGGTGCAAAACTGTCACGGTGGAAGAATTCAGGAGTGCCACGGAATCATATGAGGCCCTCCCCTGGAGGCTTTGTTCACTGCACAATGTAGGTGAGAGGGTGATGCAGGCTATACTGTTTTCTCAAGGTTAGTAAGTTCAGGTGGACTAGGGTGTAAGGAATCATATGCATTTGCTATAGGCATTCTACACCACGAAAACATGCAGATGACTTATGTTCTGTACCAAGTCTTGTTATGTTTTATACAAGGTTTTGCTTCCATGCTTTCCTGAAGCTCTGGTCTTTCTCCATTGCTGCTGAGGCTAGAACCTCTATCTGTGCCTAGTTTGTTGTTCTCAAGTGCCATCAAGTTGGTTCCCTGTATAGGGTTTCCAAGAAGCAGGTATATAGGATATTATTTACTTCTTTTTAGGAACCACTTTGTGCAAGACAGTTTCTTTTCACTTAAAGTTAATGTCAAGGTATTAAACTGCTCATTTTCACTAGGAAGGAATAAGCCATTCACAGAAAGAATTATATGTTTATGGGTGAGAGACTATAATCAGAGTTTCTAAATTAAAAGAAATCATTCTCCTAGAGAGAAAATAAATCCTTCCAAGAGAATGCTTCAATTATAGTTAAGAAAATTTTATCTTAGAAGGCTATAAAAATGACTACTTTATTAAAAATGGAAATCCATCAGCCATAATTGTAAATAGTTTAACATGCTAGCAACTAACTCTCTCCATTCTCACTTAACTCTCTCCATTCTCACTCAATTCAACTAGTTAACCACATTTGTGCTTTGCTTGGGGTCCTGGTGTGGTGCTGCTGGACTGCTAACTTGAAAGGTCAGCAATTCAAATCCACCAGCTGCTTTTCAGAAACCCTCTAGAGGGAGGGGCACTATGAGTTGGAATCGACTTGATGGCACTCAGAAATAGCATTTTTGGGGGGCCAATGTGAAAGGAGTGGTCATTTCTAAAATGATCCTCCAAAAGAGGAACATTAGGGTAGTGAACTGAGAAACCAAAACAACCGTATGTATTGTAAATTGTAAAAATATTCAGTATTTGCATTCCCATTATTTCTCAAGAGAACCTGAGGATAGTGAACCTGAGGATAGTTGTAGACTTAGCATATACTATGTTGTTGTTGTCACTTGTTGTGCAGTCGGTTCTGACTCACAGATACCCTGTACAGGGTTTCTGAGGCTGTAAATCTTTACGGGAGTAGAAAGCCATCTTTCTCCCACGGAACAGCTGGTAGTTTCGAACTGCTGACCTTGTGGTTTGCAGCCCAATTCATAACCACTATGCTACCAAAGCTCCTTACTTAGTATACTATATAGAAAGGTAAAAAGAAAAAAAGAATAGAATACAATGTTTATGGGACACACAAGCAATAGATGCTTTAAGGCAAGTACACTGAAAAAATTACGTAATTCAGAACTGGACTCAAATCATTTTTTGGCAACAAGGAAATAAGGTTGTTAGTTTCCCGAATATTTCGGTTCCTTTGTAGAAAACAAAAACTTTTCATATAATTTTCATATAACAAGCACTAAACTGCAAACCACAAGGTCCACAGTTTGAGACTGCCAGCTGTTCTATGGGAGGAAGATGAAGCTTTCTGCTTTCCTAATGATTTAAAGTCTCGGAAACCCTATGCAGGGTCGGTAGGAGTTGGAGCCAACTTGATGGCACTTACAAAAGCAAAACAACCTAAAATTAGAATTTTTAAGTATGAGATGAAGAAAGAATGACATGGTGGATACCATGTCATTATAAATATTTCTGGTGGAAAGTTATTCAACTGTTATTTCTAAGAAAGAGTCTATATAGTTTTATTTATAAGTCAATAAATATTTGAGTTTATAAAATATTTCATGGTTGTTAAGTGCCAGTTTCGACTCACAGTGGCCTGTATAGGGTTTCCGAACAGTTGCTGGTGTTTCTGAACTGCTGATCTTGCAGTGCAGTGCTTATCCTACAATGCCACACCAGGAATACTTAGCAAGGCATAATTTAGTCTTAAATACTTGAGTTGCAGTTTGAATAAAAGTATTCGATTCACTAATGTAAAAATACTTGCTTTTATATTTTTCATACCCTAGTTATCAATTTTAAGTTTTCATATATAAATTTCCTCAAATATTTTCTGCAATGAATTAGGGTATACATAAATAAAAATTACAAAAATTACCTTTGCTTTTAATGAAAACACAGGGATTTAATTTAACTTAGTGGCTACATTACCCATGTCCCCACTGGGCAAACCAGTAGTAGAGTTTTCTTTAAATGACTTAGAAATTAGAAGTTCCACTGACACATTGGTCACATTTGGTACAACTTCTCTAGCGAATGCTGCTGTGATTAATATGCTAAATGTGGACATCAGGGTTGCAATATTGCATAAACATTCTAATGAAACATTGCATTAAAATAAAAAGAAGAAAGATCTTACCTTTTGTCGTGTAGTAGGACCTTGTGATTTCGGTGGAAAAGTACAAGGTATTCTTCCATGATGGATATGATATGGTAGTAAGAGACTTGGGTCTAACGGGACCCAGGGAACGGAGAGACTGGAAGGTACAGCAGGCAGGCCACAGTGTGTTTTATGCAGATTGTATGCTGTCCGGGTAATTTTCCCATCAGATGTCTTATAGATCAGGAGTGAAGAATCTTCTGATGCATGAGACAGCAAATAGGAACCCTCCTGCAAGCTAAATCCATACAATGAAACTTAGCTCACTGGCTCACGGTGCCAATTTCAACAGCACTTTTTAAATCACAATTTGCTAAGTAAAATGAAATACTACCTCGGACAATACTTTCAGAATCAAAAAAGATTTCAGAAAATATTTGAACTATTTTCATGCCTATGCAACAGGTTTTTAATTCTTACTCCAAAGTTTAGAAAATTTGATTATTTTGTTTGACAGTCAATTTGTAAGGCAAGTTTTCACTAATTTAAACCTATAAATAAAGTAAGTGACAGAATTAGTCATTGGGATAATTACAAAACAGTATGAGGAACTATGCAGATGATGATAGTAGCAGTAACAGCAGCGTACAGTATCAACTGTTTATTATGAACAATCTACTGTTGTAGTGTTTCATAGAGTTTCTCATTAAATTCTCCATAACAACCCTACAAGGCAATAACTTCTTGTTAGAGATGAAGAAACAGAAATTAGAGATAGTAAGCAATTTCCCCCCAAATACTGAAGCATAGGGCTGGGATTTAAAGTCAGGTGGTCGTAAGCAATTTCCCCCCAAATACTGAAGCATAGGGCTGGGATTTAAAGTCAGGTGGTCAAATGCCATGAGGTGTACTCTTTAATCACTGCTGTCACAATCATCTAAGTTATACCATAAAGAGCTAAATGGATGTGGGTCATAAGCTGTGCTTTTTGGGATTACACAGTGCTAAGGAGAACATTAGTTCTTTCAAATACATCATTAAAAATAAAAATCATACTCAGCTATGTGGATCTGCCTATAAGCCTAATACAGTATATTTTCATTAACTTGTTTAACAGAATCACTTGTTTACACAGAAAAGCTATAGGTGTTGACAAAGGAGATGGTACACAGAACTATTCTTATTCTCTGGGAAATTAGCTCCACCATCTCACCCCCCAAATAATCACTTTCAAATTTCAGTATAAGAAAATGAACAGTAGTGTTATTTATAAGGTAGTAGAAGCAAATAAGGTACCAAGGAAAATCGTATCTTAACTCCCTTCACTAAAAATGAAGAAAGCTTTGGTTTGTAGAGGAATCTGTTTAATTCACTGAGAATGAGACATTCTAATAAGGTTGCTATGGGTGGGTACTGACTCGATGGCACCTAACAACAAGAAGAAGGGACACCTGCCAGAGCAATACGGAGTGCATGAACAGAAGCACTAAGGTAGGCACAACAGTGGCCTCTCACACACATCTGCAGCCGAAACCCTGGTGTTGTGAAGTGCCATCGAGTCAACTGACTCACAGTGACCCTGTATAGGGTTCCAGGTTGTGGCTCCTGGGCTTAAACTACTGACAAGGTTGGCAGTCAAATGCTGATCTGTACTGTTTTAAGCCAACAGGTTTGTGGTAATTTGTTGCAGTAGCAATAGGAAACGAATACAATAGCCTAATAGGAAAACCTGGAGTCCTGGTGTGGTGCCATAGGCTAAGATCTCAACCTCAAGGTTGGTTTGAAGCACAAGGCTGACAGTTCAAACTCACCAGGCGCTCCTCGGGAACCCTATCCAGGGTCGCTATGAGTCAGAACTGACTTGACAGCTCTTAACAATAGGAAAACACAGTTGCAAACTCACAGAAGGCAGATACTATTTTATTTCTATCTCTACAAATTCATCCTGACACAATAAAATCAACCTCCTTCTATACCTAACAATCTCTTATCTATCCCTAACCGCTTACTTTTAACGTTCTGTGAATTTTAATCCAAGGTGATCTAATGTGTCAAGGCAAAACGTATAAAATACTTACCTACTTAATTTCTTTAGGATGTGTTGGAGGATGTTGAATAAACTTGAAATCCTAATAAATAAATAAAACAAATTTACATAAAATTGAAAGCACACTCAAAGCTTATTCTTGACAGTTAACAGTATTCTCAGAAAGCAAATCACCTCAATAACAAAAGCTACACTGGAAAGCTCAAAACCGCAAAATTTCTAGTTGGGGTCAATGATACTATTTACATAGAGTACTATTTGATGTTCAAGTTATATACTTTATAAAATGTTCAGAAACGTTTAGCAGAATTCATCTGCAGAAGAATATGCCTTTTAGAAATGGTGGTGAGTTAGCTTCCAAAGAAACTCATGGGTACTGTAAATATGTGCTGCCAGAGAAACTACTGACTGGGGATTGGATAAAGAAAAATGAAATGTACTACTCTAAATGTTTCACTGCATTCTGAAATCATTCTATTTTTAATGGGAGAGGAGGGTAGCTGAGGAGTAAGGTATGCAAAACAGTTTTTATTCCCATATATAAAGAAAAGTTACCTCTCATGAGAAGCAGTCCTTATAATGGAAGTGGGTAAATTTAAGTACAAGCAGAGGTCCAACACAAATCTGGGACTTTAAAAAAAATTGTCAAGCTCCAAGGCTGGAGTTAAACAGCCAGTATAAGTTAGGATATTTCTCATCCTAAGTGGTGAGCCAAACACATTAAGTATCAAGGCTGTCACACTAGCTCAACTGTGTGACAAGTCCCAACCTCCTCATATCTAAAATGGAGATGATACTACCACTAGCCTTTCTTGCCAATTGTCATAGTTACATGAGATAACAATAGTCAAACGTTATCTTTCTCTGCATTCAGGTACTTAGAATTGTGAGTATAAAAAAGTCACTTCAGTCTTTCGAGTCCAGTCTTTTGAGTCAGAGCTGACTCAACAGCACTTAACAGTAACAATAGGAAACAATATAATAATGTATGGTAAAAGGACAGACTTTTATACATTAGGATATTCAAGTCAGTGTGCCCATAACCCTGAGTGCTGAGAGGGAGCAACTGTCCTATGCCTTTCAGTCCCAGCAAAGGGCTAAGATTTCCCATGTATTTCCTAGATGGTGGGCCACTCTCGTGTTCTAGTCTCCATTGTCTCAAGTAGAGAGACTGGTACTAACGGCAACGAGATGTACTAGCACAGTGGTGGCAGCAGCCAGACTCAAGCATAACAATTGTGAGGTTGGTGCAGGACTGGGGGCAATGCTTCTTTCTGTTGGGCATAGCGGTGCTATGAGTCGGGACTGACTTGACAGCCTCTAACAACAGCTGACATTATATTTAACTTGGAGATGAAGATGTTTAATATGAATCACATAATGACTCAGGGGAAGCCTCAATGTATAAAAGGATTAAAAGTATACTGAGAATAAATTATTACTCTTAACCAATATTTAGTGATTAAAAAAAAAAAAAAAAAGATCATGTTAATATACTTATCTATTCCCACCACAAAGCATACTTTCTTACTTGAGAGCTGAGAGCTTTTCTTTTAACTCTTCTGAGGTAATTTCTTCAAGTAGAAAAAGCTTTGAAGTGAATGCGTCAATATGCCCTAAAATAAAGATCCAATTATTCAACCTCCTTAATGATGTCTTTATGAAATTTAATGATTAGAAATGATGTTTGAATACATTCTAAAAAGAGGAACAATACACACTGTTATTAAGTAAAGCTGTATTTTAAAATGACACAAAATACTAGAAAATTAATATTAATTCAAATATACTAACTAAACACAGAAAATTTACACATCCACATACAAAACTCACCTATAAGTCCAAAATTTAAGATAACTGTTGTGAAAAATGTACCGATTATCAAGGCAAACGGATAAAACCAATTTCTATTCCGCATCCTTTGTACATCTCTGATTCTTAAGAAAAAGATTAGATAAGACCTGCTTTAGGCTCAGTACCATCATATGCTACTTCTTGAAGTAGATGAACGCTGACCATTTCTTTTTGCTACAGTGATTTTGTGTATTCCCTCCATCTTCTGATGCTTTCTTCATCATTCAATATTTTGCCCTTGTTGTTAGGTGCCATCGAGTCAGTACCGACCCATAGTGACCTTATGCACAGCAGAATGAAACACTGCCCAATCCTAGGCCAACCTCACTACTGTTGCCACGCTTGAGTCCATCGATGCTGCCACTTGGCCAATCCTTCAATATTGCAAGTAGAGGTTAGAATTTTTTTCTTCAATTTTTTCAGCTTGAGAAATGATGAGCGTGATCTTTTTCCCTTTTGGTTTTCTAACTCCCAAGTCTTTGCACATTTCATTATAATACTTGATTCTGTCTTGAGCTGCCCTTTGAAATTTTTCATTCAACTCTTTTACTTACTCATTTCTTCCATTTGCTTTAGCATTTCTACGATAATCCATTTTGGTCTTTTCTTTCTTCCTGTCTTGTGAATGACTTTGCTTTCTTCTATACTGCCACAGCTCTGCTGGTCTTTGGTCATTAGTGCGAGTCCAGCACAGCTATACTGGAGCCTGTCACTACATTCAGGGGGAATGTATTTTGACTCTTGTGGACTTGTTTTAATTTTCTTCAGCTTCAGCCTGAATTTGCAAATGAGCAATTGATGGTCTTTTCCACAGTCTGCCTAGAGCCTTGATTTGGCTGATGATTTTGGGCTTTTCCACCATCTCTTCCCACAGATGTGTCAATTTGATTGGTGTGTATCCCCCATCTGGTGAAGTCCATGTGTAGAGCTGCCTTTTAGATTTCTTACTTATTTGCAACGATGAAGTCGTTGAGCTGGCAAAATTCTGGATCTTTAGATCTCCAGCAATATTTCTACCACCAAGGCCATATTTTCCAACTACTGATTCTGTCCTTTTGTTTCCAAGTTTCACATTCCAATCACCAGTGATGATCAGTGCATCCTGATTGCATATATTAATTTCAGACTGAAGAAGTTGGTTGTTAAGTGTCATTGGTTCTGACTCATAGTGACCCTGTATAGGGTGGGTTTCCAAGGAGCAGCTGGTGGGTTTAAGCCCCCAACCTTGATGTTCACAGCCCAAATGCTTACCTTTATAGTGCTATACCTACTCTTTGAAGAAGCTGGTAGAATTCTTTACTTTGATC